TCTCTCTCTCTCTCTCTCTCTTTTTCTTTTGAGACAGGGTCTCCCTGAGTTGCTTAGGGCCTTGCTAAGTTGCTGAGGCTGGCTTTGAACTTGAGATCCTCCAGCCTCAGCCTCCCGAGCCTCTACAGTCACAGGCGTGCGCCCCACCCGGCTTGGAGCTGTCTTCTTGCTGCTCTCTTCTTGCACCTTGTGTCCTGGTGGTCAGGCTGCTTCATCTTTTTCATCACAGTCTGAGGTTGTTCAGTGTTGATCTTAGCCCTCGGAGCTCCATTTCTTCCTTGTCTCCTGGAGAAGTCCTGTTATCCGTGCAGCTCCAGCTCCAGCAGAGGCACCAAGCTCTCTCCCCCTGAGCTGCTCTGGCTGGAGCACGTGGCCCTGGCGCTTCTCTCCTGCCCCCGTGGGTCACAGAGCCCTCGACTGTCAGCCTCAGAGCAATGGGAAGAAGCTGAGGGGCTGGTCACCCTGGCACCTCTCTCCTCCCAGTCTGAGCTGTGTCCCTTGTTTTGGGCAAGTCCCTGGCCCTGTCTTGACTTGGTCTCACTCATCCGTCTCTCCCTTCTTCTTCCTTCCCTCCTTTTCTCTCTCCCCCTCCCTCTCTCTCTTTTGTCTCCCCTCCCTCCTTCCTTCTTTCTTTTGCTGAGGATTGAACCTGGGGGCTGGGTGCTCTACCCTGAGCTGCTTTCCCAGCTTCTTTATTCTTTATTTTGAGACCGGGTCTCCCTAAGTTAGCCTCCTCCTGCCTCAGCCTCCCAGTCTCTGCTGGGCCCTGGTTTTCTATCCTGTAAACCAATGGGGGTGGGGCTAGGGGAGTGGCTCAGTAGGTGGAGTGTCGCCTCCCATACCCAGGGCCCTGGGTTCAGTCCCCAGCACCACAAAATCAGGGTTCAGGAAGCTGCCTTCCCCTGTGTGAACCCTGCTCCAGGACCCCTCAGCGAGGCCTGAAGCGGTCCTGCGCTGCAGCTGGCGGACACTGGCTTATCAAAGCAATCGTTAGTTTTTTTCCCCAGGAATTTTGCAAGCCAGTTTTGCAAGTCCTTGAAATTGACCCTGTTGTGAGTATTTACCCCTGAAAATCGACAAACAGGGTCTGTCTCTGCCCTCCCCAGAGCCCAGGCTCCTCAGCCTCCCCCCCTCCCCTGCAGCCCCTGCCCCAGGCCTCTCCCGCTCAGGGTTCAGGCACCAACTCCCGTGCTGCCTCCGGGGCTGGGTGCTCCCTGCTTCACCGTGTCGTGGTCCTCGCTGTCCAGTGCTCACTTTTAGTGCAGCACAGTTCCACTGGGGGAGAATCAACACTTGGAGCACACAGATCTCCAGCGTGGAGATGGGCTTCCTGCTCACGGGCTGCTTCCTTGTCTGTGGGACCCCGGACGAGCTGGGCACGGCGCACTTCCCTGGCACTGCCACCTCGCCCACCGCCTCTCCCCCTTCACCTGGATATTTACTCTCTGAGCTCGTCCCACTTCCTGACATTGACATTGACTTCTCAACTCCTAGAATGAGTGCAGCCGGGGCGGGGCCCTTTCCTGTCTTGTTCATATGTCCTCGTCACCTGGAGAGCTCGGGCACATAGTAGTTACTCAGTTATGACTCTGAGTAAATGACTGCATGACCTTGGGCGACTCACAGCCTCCCTGAGTTCCAGTTTCCTCAACCCCCCACCTGGAAAACTCTCCTTGGGCTGAGCCGCCTTCCAGAAGAGCCCAGACCAGGGTCAAGCCCGACGTTGCCACGAATTCACTGTGTCAACCTGGGCAAGTCGCCGCCCAC